ACATTTATACGCAGTGTATTGCACGCCAGTGTGAATGAGGCCTTATCCTTAGTTTTGTAGAACAATTAAACAAGTCTTTTGAACAGCTGCTACAAAATGACCGAAAATGGGAAATACTATTCGTTTCCAGTTTTGTTCAGTTTCTATTCAGAATTCAGACCAGACGTTTGGGACTGTAGTAATGAAAAAGCCATCAATTATCTTTAGATTGGCTAAGCAGATAATGAATCTATCTTTGTCAGGATTAGGTTGGATAAACCTTTGACAGACCTTGGATAATCCGTGGCCGCCACATGCCTGGCAGATTCTGGACTGTTTGTGTATCGGTTGACCTGTCACATCTACAATAGCTAGCCTACAGCTGAAACCCAGAAAAAAAGAACAGTCGTGGCCATTGTTACATTCCTACCAATACAACACGGTTCACCTGGTGCATTGTGACCCCGTGCTAAGTAATGAAGAATAGCAGTGTGCATTCACAGGTAAATGTCCCACTTCCTAAGGATACGTACTCTGCTTTCATAAGAAATTGCTATCCATTGGCTCTGCTTTCTAACACGCCCCCTCTATAGAGTTATGTACAAATTCCTCAAATCCCAAAAGGGACTTCAGAGCAGGAAAAGGGAAAAAAAAAAAAAACTCAGCCAAAGGAAAGGGAAAAAAAAAAAAAAAGACAAGAGTTTGCTGGGATTCAGCGTAAGCTTTCTAAACGTAAACATATAACCAGTGCTAAATGAGATCTTAAGAGTCAAGACAGGCCAAATCCTGTGCGAGAAACAAAGCGTAACCAAAGCCAGAGAGACAGAACTATAATGCAAAGTCCAGACAGACCCTACTGAGAGAAATACAATCCAGACACAGTCAGAGAAATAGAATGCCAGCAAGACCTTCCATAGAGGAGTACAAGAGCAAGGAGTCAGGCAGCACCATTCTATTATCAATCCTTCCACCAATACATAGAAGTATATTTATAAAGTGATAAGATCATCACAATCCAATATCCGACAATAGAACCAGAGGGCTGCTTGATGGGATAAGTCAGCATTCTAGCTGGCCACTGCGGACACAATTCAGGGAAACCAACATAGGATACACAGTTTCCTGTATTCCATTACTGCAAGTCATTACACTGAGAATGCCACAGAAACGCCACATGGTCCGCTTTTATTTGACATCAGATGAAATCAAACATGCGTGAGTGCCAGCTTGGCCCACATAACCCATCACATGGCAGATGACTGTCACCATGAAGCTGGTTATACAACAAGGGTGGGCAACTCCGGCCCTCCAGCATGCCTCTGGGAGTCATGCCTGTAACTGTCAGTCTTGTAATGCCTCATGGTAATCACACAACAACTGGAGGGCCAGAATTGCCCATCCCTGCCATACACGGTTAGAATATTGGCCAATTACTGTAAAGTTTAATGGCGGATGGCCCTGCTGGTTAGACAAAAGTTGGTTACTAAACTGACTTTCGCCCGAGTGCAAATTGTTGGCTGAACCAATCAGCAGCAGCCACTGGTAGTCTGACAGCAGTAGGCACCGGCTGTCAGAATACAACACGCCTGCGGGAATGGCGGGGATTCCCCAATCTGACCTTGATCCGACGGACAGCCACGGCCCCTGGTGATTGTTTACATCCTGGCCTCGCCTGTGCACTACCACCCTATACTTCTATTTCCCAGCCTTGGATCACAGTGCGATAGACGTCTATGGGCCTGTAATGCACAATGAGACTTGCGGGTGTAAACAATCACCGGAGGCCGCAGATGTCGGACTGAGTCTCCATTCACACATGAGCTGTTTTCCGTGTGTATTCGGCCAGTTGGTCCCGCAAAATAGTCCAAGTGTGATTTTATGGGTGGATTCCACACGTTCTGACTATAGTAATAGCCGCAAACGTGTAGAATCCACGCATATGTTAATGTTTGCGCGGTTTCGTTCCACACGGAAAACACTGCCACTACCCTGTTTCCCCGAAAATAAGACCTCCCCCGAAAGTCAGACCTAGCACTATTTTTCAAGATTCCTGTAATATAAGACCTACCCCGAAAATAAGACCTAGTTTGGTGGTAGCATGTGAGGGGGAAGTTGAAGAGCAGGAGAGATGGTATCAGCCTGCAGGGACATACTGTATTAAGGGGGTGACAGGGGACTCCCTCCGGCCAGCGCAGTGACAGGGAGCACTCCAGTACCATACTTCACCAACTGCTGTCCCCCTGAAGGCACTGCTTAATTCAGGGGTAGCCAAACTCCGGCCCTCCAGCTGTGGTGCAACTTCAAATCCCATGAGGCATTGCAAGATTCTCACTGCCACAGACATGACTCCTGGAGAGAGAAGCATCATGGCAATGATAGTTTCACCACAGCTGGAGGGCCGGAGTTTGACTACCTTTGGCTTAATGTAATGGTACTGAACTGTAATGTGTATTGGTAAATGGTACCGTACTTTACCGCGCTGTCCACTGTCTGATGTCCCCACTGCTACACCGCTGCTACCATCGTCCCTGATGGCAAAGGAAGTCGGCGCTGTCGAAAGCAAGGCTGCGGCGGTGGAGGGAGAAGAGCCGCATTAGCCGATACTTCCTCTATAGCGCCAGTTACTGTGACAGGCGGTGATACCAGATAACTTTGGATTGTTGCACATTTTGTTGCACATTAAAAAAAAAAAAATCCCCTGAAAATAAGACCAAGTGCGTTTTTTTGGGGGCAAAAAAAATATAAGACAGTGTCTTATTTTCGGGGAAACACGGTATGCGTGAATGGAGCCTCAGGTTGGTACACATATGTGGAGGGGGAAGGTAGGATGGTTTAGTCAGAGCAACGGGGCAAAAAGAATATGTACACTTTGAAGGTGCACTTAGTCATTAAAGCTGAAGTTCAGGGCTTTTTTTGTGGGGGGGGAGGGGGGTACAGCACCAAACACTATAGATATGTGTAATAGTGTGTATCCCTTTTCCCCAGGTTAAAATCTTCTCACAACCACTGGATATTACACTCAGCGGCTGCCTTCCGGAGATTAACAGCCGCTAGTGCTAGCATGCAAAGTTGTGCCA